GGCAGTTTTTGGCTGTGGTTGAGGAGAAAGGATAGGGATTGGGGGTCAAATAATACCTAGGGCATTTGTTGTGACCGATCGCGGTGAACGGAGTGGGAAAGCAGGAGAGGAATACAAAAGATCGGTTAACACGGGATTTAATGGGGAAATGGAGCAGGATATGGAACAGGCAGCACTACACAATCAGACGTGAATGGACTTCACTAGACTTCAGTGACAGACCTAGGGAAACGTACTTGAACGCGGACTGAAATACACAGGACAAATCGAAATGACAGGAGACAGCTGATAACAATCGGGAACTCACACGAGGCTAATGAGGGGGCGTGGCACACAGAAGGATCGTACGAGCAGGGCATGACAGTATTCCTATCTCTATGGGCACTCTCCATTAATTTCTATGGCCATAACCCTAATCCCAACTATGACAACCTTAAACCCTACGCAGCCCTAACCCTAACCATAAGTAACCAAACAAAATACAAGTCTTTTGGCATGTTTAGTTTTTTGATTGCAGTCAGATTTTTATAAAACTGAATTTCCCCTTGTGGGGACCGAAAAACGTCACAACGTCAAAATAAGTGTTTTTTTATCACATTGTGGGGACATTTGGACCACACACACGCACACGCACACACTCTCCGGGTGCTTCACATGATCTATGACGATTTTTTTATTATTGGGGGCCAAGACGCACTGGTGAGCATAGTTATAAAATTTAATCGCAGTGTTTCAAGAAATGATCGCAAAATGTCTGGAGGCCTGAGTGGTGTATGCATGCTGGAAAATGCCGCGCATGTGCAAATGTGTGAGGTAAAATCGGGTGGGTGGTGCGGGTATGGTAGTCATCAGCTGTTTATCTCGAGGCGTTTAACTTCTTGCTATTTATGTCATATCTGCCCTGCAAAGTTTTTGTTTACAAAGGTAAACCGAAATGCAATTTTCATGTTCAAGTGGTCAGTGCTAATTAATAGCTCTCCTTCATAAGATGTATGTGAATTATTAAACTAATTAAGTTACTGTTATAAAAGGATCATAAAAAGACAAATCGTTAAACGCAATTATTTGCATGACAATAAATCACCAACTAAAATTTAATGACTGTAACAGCCCAACTGCGTGTGGTACCAGCACAGTGATAGCAAAACCAGTGTAACCCACAGAACTCACCTTGTAGCAGCCAATAATGTTACAACTACCAATAATGTAACAATGCCAATAACATAACACATGTACCAGTTCTTAACGTAATAAGTTAATGTAATAACTGTTCAATAATGTAACAAATTAAATATAAAATGCATTACATTATTAGCCAGTTATTACATTATCGACTTTTATAACCATCCATCCATTTTCTATTCATCATCATTTTCTCTACTGTCCTCACTACTCTGACCAGAAGTCCCTTCATAGAGTAGTGAGGACAGCAGAGAAAATGATCAGGACCCCTCTTTCATCTATTCACGACATATACCAATCTCGCTGCCTCAGCAAAGCGGTCAGGATTGTCAGGGATCCATCACATCCAGCCTACAGACTGTTCAACATGATACCATCTGGTAAACGCTACTGCAGTATGGGATGTAAGACTGCACGGCTGAGCAAGAGCTACTTCCCACAGGCCATTAGACTTCTAATCTCACTTTAATAAAAGCACTACATATTTGATTGTGAACAACGCACTACATACTCATATAATGAAACATTCACATAACACATACTAAAACATGTTTCCATATTTACTATACTCTGCTGCTACTACCTATTAGTAATCTGCACTTACACTCTCTGCTATAATACTAAAACTGTGAGATACTGTGTAAAATTTGACTCGCAAATTTTAACTTTGAGCACTATTACTCTGCATGAGATTTACCTCTGAGCTGAATAGTAGCTGTCCGTGTAGTTCTGTTCTCTGTGTAGTTCTGTGTTTTATTGTGTGTATTTTGTGTAGCCCGTATTATTATACTGTACTTTATTATATTGTATTATATTATACTGTAGTATTTCTGTTTGTTTTGCACATGGAGCCAGGAGAAACGCAATTTCGTTCTACCATGCACTCTCAAACTGTGTGGTACGAATGACAATAAAGTTTACTTTGACTTTGACTTCTACCGCTTTTCCGGGTCGGGTCGCGGGGGCAGCAGTCTAAGCAGGGAAACCCAGGCTTCTTTTATAACGTTAATAAAAATTATTACGTCGAAGCTCAAGTATTCCAAAACGTTAATTTAGTTTATGCTGGATTTCGTCTTCACCTTCAACTTCACGTTCTGCTTACCGGTTTTGTGAGTACGGTTTGAGTTTCGCGCGTTTGCACCTTGGAGGTATGCGTCATCTGAAGAGGGTAGTGGTTTTGGCACGTAATATGGGCACGGGCGTGGTTTTGCCCCTACTGGGTTTGTAGAAACATAGACGCTCCAGGCAGTGCGTGTGTTAGTCAGGCTGCAGAAGAGAGGGAGGTGGGGTCAGAACTGTAGTGATTTGGACTGGGCTGGTAAGTTAATTAATGTCTGAGAAACAAAAGCCGGCAGACTTTGCCCGGTCTGACGTAATGAGGATCATTGAAAGTACAGTTTCTCAAGTACGTCAAAGCAATTGTTTACTCACTTGTGGACAGTATGGCATTCTCCCACCGAACAAGTTTTCTTGGTATTAACAAATGTAATCTATACTGCAGCCAAATGCTAAGCATGAATAATTACAACCAAAGTCCATGTGGGCGTCCGTCTTGCATTAAGATGGAGTGACCGCGACAACGCAGCTCAAGAAAGAGTGAAGAAAGATTTATTTCAGCTCCGATGCCTTTCCTTGAAAAGGAAACTTCGGTTAGTCCGGAGACGTTGTCCCGTAAGAATACTAAAAGTAAGCTTTCCCGATCGACGCAGTACACACACATGCATGCTCTTAACGGGAACTTTTTTCTTCCTGTTACTACTTTTGTGCTTTCATCGGTCTGTTGGATATAACGTAACTGAAGATTGCCAATCGCTGAACAAATAATATATATACAAATAATATATATACTATACTATAAAAAAGAACTTGTGCGCACAAGTTAATATTTGTAAGGAACAGGTTAGCTGCGGTATAGCTGCCGTACTACGTTTGCTAGACCTCTAGGTTAAGCTGCATTTGCAATTTTCAAGAGTTTACTGATTTCTCAAAAATGATTTCATTGACATAATTAGACGAATTGCTGTGTGTTTGATGTTACTCGCTTGTTTAATCGAATCGTTCTCCTAAAAAAATACATTGCTGGTATCAGGGGTACAATAGAATAAAATACAGTAGCCTTGCAATTAATATTACTCGGAGTAAATGCAACACTGCTGCGCACTACTTTGGCATTAAGGCTGAGTTACACAGTCCGTGTGAATGGTCGCGACAGAGGTGAAGCGCCATAAACAATACTTTTTTCTTTCACTATCGGTAATCATAGTAAAACGGGTATAAACAGGTTCAATAAATACAATAAACAGGTGTCAGTAATGATGTATTTACTGTAATTGTTTATCATACTGTATTATTGTGATTACCGATAAGGACCGAAAAAAAAACTATTGTTCATGTCGCTTCACCTCTGTCGCGACCATTCATACGGACTGTAACTATCTTGTGCACACAAGATACATAACTTGTGCGCACAAGTTATTACCGAGGTGAAATCGGTTTTAGGTTGGATATTCGACGGATATTCAGATCCACACTCTCCAGACTTAGCGGCGGGGCATCACTCACGCTAGACGGCATAAGGCGGTCGAAAGACCAATTCCACAGCCTCGGAAGCTCTCGCGCATCGCTGATTTAGGGACCGTCAACGAATTACTGTCAGAAAAATAAAATACTGATTGCTTGCAATAACTTGCAATGGGACCCAGTAACTCCAAAATGAGTGCATATTCTACAACTACCTGACATACTCAGGACGCAGTGAACTTTACTGGTTTTTAACACTTTATTGTATTTTAAAGTATCATTTTAAAAGGAAAAACTGGGTAGAAAGATTTTTCAATAGCTCCTAGGCTGTAGAAGCCTGTGACCCAAAACCTAGTACCAATTGTAGTACTATCTTAGGCCTATGGGACACAGCAACTTTCATTCAAGTTTAACCCTTTCTGTACTTGATATGATTTTTTTTTCTCTTAAATTAGCCTTTTTTTTCCCAGTAGCTCCTAGGCTGTAGGAGCCTGCAGCCCAAAACCTAGTGCCAATTGTAGTTCTACCTCAGCCCTGTAAGACACAGCAACTTTTGTTTGTATCCTTTCAAGCACTGTGTATGTATTCTTATTGTGAAATTTTGTCTTTTATCTTTTACAAAGATAGAATGGTTTTCAAGTACAAAACCTGTATTGCAAATCCAAGTCCTCTTGCAAATACCAACCTGCGAGTGCAAATTCACACTTGCGCACATAAATAATTTTGGCACTAACTTGCCTAGCGCTTTGCAGATAAATATTTGCTCGCATAGCCACCAATCAAATTAATTCAACCCTGGACGTGGGGCCAGCTCATCGCAGAAGATGTTTGGTTTCGCATTTACAAAAAATATTCACGTGTATTTGCAAAATATTTTTTTTTTTGCGAATGAAAATTGTGTTCAGAGCGAGCAAATTTCTTTTTACGGGTGCAAATTGGAAAGTACACATACAAGTACATATGGCACTATTCTGACTCCATACAAATCTGTCATGGACACAATGACCTGTGTTAGCTCGTCATATGGATCCTAGAAGGAAAAAAAACCCTTGGTTGCCTTCATGAAAGCTAACGTATGTTGTACCTTTTATGTAAAAAAAAAAAAAAAAAAAGGGAAGAGGAATGCTGCTTTCCATTTAATCAATCTGGTGGGCATTTTCTGAAGTCTGTAATGAATGGCTAAATGTGTTCTTTATAATTACCCAGTTGATTAAGGTATTCCTCATGTGACCCAGAATCATGACAATTGATAAGTGTAAAATAATATTTAAGCTATAAGGCAAATAGATCTAATTCAGGCATTTGCAGAAATCCAGATATTGCACAATATTGACTAAGAAACCTACCAAAACATTAAGGGAGAATGAATGGATGTACGGTAGTGTGTTCTAGAGCTTAAGAAATGCAAAACATGAAGGTCTCGGCTTTGCATAGAACCTCCTTCCTAAGGAAATCGTGACTTGCTTAAAAGATGTGGCCAGTCTGAGGTCACTGCACCCAGTAGAGATGATCACTTGATCTCCATGTCTGATGGAATTGGGCAGAAGCAGTGCCAGTCGACCCATCTGGTGACATTGGCTGAGAAACATAATCTAGAAGGCAGGCTAGCTTCCTGTGCAGGGCTGATGGTCAGATTAAAAGCAGAGCAGCACACTGGATGCATGTAAAAGATGAACTCATAATCACCCCTGTTCTTCCCAGGTTGGCTCATTAGAGTGATGCTGCTAGGAATGGTCTTTGTCTCCTACCAGTTCTTCTCCATCCTGCAAAGGTGAGGAACTAGACCTTTCTCTCCTCCCAATGCTGCTACATCCATTTCATTAGGGATTAGTTTTAACATCATTAGTATTTATGGCCTGGAATGTCTTACTCAAGATTCCTCAGTCACTGTTTTTTTCCCAGATTAAAACTTAAAACTCCAAATTTGCATATCGTGCCTATACTGCCAAATTTTAGGTTAACATGTTACAACATGTGTATCGTGTGAGAAGACGCCGAGCTTTTCGTCGTCTTCTGAGCATCTTGTTAAATTAATTTTGTTTTTTGATGACACGGTAACGTGATTCTCATTTACATCCCAAATCCCATTCAAACTTTTTTTTCTTTGCTGTGATATAAAATGGTCTTCATGTAGTTCTCATTTGTTGAATTATGGTTTTGAATCATATATATTTATATATTTCAAATATAAATTTAAAGATTGTAAATGGTTGGAAGACAGAGGGAGCTTCCCACATTGTTGTTCCAATTCATTTTATGGGAGATCAAACCAACTTGGAAACAATGGAGCATGAATCCTCAGAGCATTATGGACTGCAGTGCTTATTTACTGTTTCCTTAAAATTTTATGGCTCCATGTTGAGGTTTACAAACTGGAATATGAATCGAAGGATGTTGATGAAATCTGTTCATTTTGTTGCATCTGATTAAGGATATTCTCTTCTGAGTCCTTCACGTCTCTCTCCTTTGCTGAAACGTGGTGAACATATGATCTTCTCTACTTCTTCAGTTTGGAAGATTCCAGCACATCCGCATCTCTCTACCGTACCCCATGTAACAGCTCCAGGTTATGGGACAGCCTGAGTTTGAAGTAAGTGTGGGGAAGAGGTACCGGCAGCTTCTCATTACCAGCAGAGGTGGGACGTTCAGGTCCAGAAGGTACAAATCCAGACCAAGGTTCTGTTTCAACCAGAGGTGCACCGATCTATCCCTATTAGATGGATTGGATATCGGCTATATGTGACCGATTCACATCCAACACTTATTTAGTTTTCGGCAGTCTGTAAAAAGATAGCTCCTATTTCTTGTTAAATCGATTTGTACAATCAATTGCATGGCAGCTCTTTCCCATTTTAGATGTGCGTTTTTTCGGCATTCGAGCTGAATGCTAACGCTGCCACTCAGTCTTTTTGCCACTCAGTGGGTGTGAGCACAGTGACTTTCGCCTGCTGTGACATCATGTGCATACTCTTCGCAGTAGGGAGAGTGTGAGAACATCAGATAAGAGGGTGACAACCATGAAGTATTTTATCCTTTTAACAACTACTAATAGCACGGCGATTTGCAATCTTTGTAAAAACAAGGTTTTGAGAGGTGGAATAGTATTTACTGGAAAATCCCACAGCACAGCGCACACAACTGTGCAAGACAACACGAGTAGTATGAAAAAAGCAACTGATGATTTTGGAGTCGCTAGCTTGGGCTGTTTTGCACACTCGCTACAGCTTCTGATGCATGAGTGCAAGTGACACTGTTTATGGAAGTAAATCTGTGTCGTCACAATTTGAATTTTATATGCCACTGAAATTCTAACATTGCATATTTCCAATGCATAAATATTCATCGGAAATTCGATGATCCGAATTCACACGCAAAAATACGAGGTTAAAATTACGAGTTATACATCCGGGATACCAAGGCTAAGCAATGGAATCTGTGGCTGCGTTCGACTTCATGGAGCCGCTTACAGCACAACAGCAATGCATTCTGGTCCTGGCGTTTGTATCCCAGGCAGTTCCGATGCGTAATCTGCTATTTC